CGTGGAGACGGCGAGGCCCGGCCGCGCCCATGGAGCCGAGGCTCGTCGGCCCCGGGCCCTACCGCGCCACCCGCCTGGTGAGTCGCCCCCGGGCTGGGGTGCCCCGTCCCCGCCTTTGTCCCTTCTGTAGCCCTAACCTGGTCTGTGGGGGGTGGGGGGCGTGCGCGCTCCGTGTAGAGTCTCCTGGGTGCCGGCCGCCTTGAGGCAGTCTGGCCGCCTGGGCCTGCCCCACTGGCCTGCTCTCTGCGGCCTGTGGTCCGAGCAGGCTATGCTCCTGTCCAGGGCAGCCGGTCCCCGGTCGGGACCCGGCGGGACGGTCTCGAACCGTCGTCCGATGCTCCCCGCGCTGAGCCTGTGTGGGGCGGCTGGAGCCGTGCACCCCGTGTGACTGGAGCAGCGATGGAGCCCGGCAGAGCGTAGCCTTGGTCCAGCCTTTTGTCAAGTTAAAAAACAAGGAGAGGTTAAAGTTGTATCTGCAGAGCCGTGGGTAGTATGGGGCTCTAAATCTTTCAGCTTACTAAATCTTGGTGTTTATTCTCAGATCTCAATCTGTTTAAATCATAGTTTTAGTTTTCAGTGTGCTCATAAACGCAGATGATCAAAAAAATTAGTTCTGCATTCAGATCTGGCTGCATGCTGACCTCACTTTGTACAACTGAAATGCTTCTAGGAGAAGAGCTCCCCTAACGGTTTACTTTGTGCTTCTTCCCCTAGTGGAACGAGATAATAGAACTTTTTCGTGCTGGGATGCCTTTACGAAAGCATCGGTGTCGCTTCAAAAGCTACGAGCGTTGCTTCAAAGCCTCGGAGGCAGTGGACTGTTTACATGAACTGCTTGGCTCTAATCAAAACTTTGGTCCAGAAGTGACTCGAAATCAAACAGTTAAGCTTCTTAAAAAATTCTTGAAAAATCATGTTATAGAAGATATTAAAGGAAGATGGGGCAAAGAAGACTTTCAAGATGATGGCCATTTATATAGGTAAACCTACATAGTGACTGAAAAATTTTCGGGTTTGGAAATGGGGGGTAATACCTTTGTGCATTGGTCTTTACAAATATTTTTGTGGAATGCGTTTGAAAAGGTGTTAATATATCTTCCCCTCCTTTCTTTTAAAGGTTTTATTTTCTTTAGTGATAGGCAATTGTCATGATTTAATGTTTGGCTTGATTTGTTTGTTTGGTTGGGTTTTTTTGCTTGTTTTTAAAGATTTTTGAAGGGCACGTGATTACTTTTTATGAATAGTAAATGCTTTTGCAACTTTTACAAGGTAGCAAGTTTTGTTTGCTGTTGGTAGACATCAGGTTTGTCAGTGTTGGAAGAGTGTATGTCAAGAAGACATGGATGGAAGTGAGGATGCCATTGAGCATCCAGCTCTAGTTGTCCTCCCTCTTGACTAACCCCCTGACTATTTTTGATGCTGTTCCTACTCCTGGGAGAAGAGAAAGGCCTTCTGAATTTAGAAGTCCATCATGATATATAACCTTTTTCTATGCTCCTTGGATTGTAGATTGAAATTGTCTTAAAAGAGACATAGTTTGGTTTCCTTGTCCTCAAGGATGCTTGCTTACTTAGCCCTATTTAGCCTCTCAGCTGGTGGCTTGTGAACAGAGGAAAAGAAGTTACTTTGTAATGAAAGCTTATCATTACTGGAGTGGGTTCTCTGTCTCTCATGACCTCAGTTAAGGTTTAGGTGTGCAGACGTTGAAGGTTTTGAATTTGTACCATCTTGTAGTGTCCTGTTCAGTGAAATAGTAGTGTAAAAATTGCTATTATCTTAAGTATGGGTTTGTAACTTTGATAACGGCAAGTCTTCTGAGGAAATTAGAGCTATCTTCATGCAGAGCAATAGGGAAAATAAGTCAGTGATAATGTTTCTAGTTATTGTATCTATAAAGAAATTTTATGTATTGATTTTTTTGTAATGAATTTTTAATATTGTCTTTGGGAAAATATATGTAATACTGAATTTCCACTTGATGTGGATGAAGTCAGTTTTTGCTCTGTGTTCTTAACTACTTTGTTTGTAGAGTGTGACTAAGCTTTTTTGTTGTCTAGTCTGTATGCCTGTGCTGTAAGAGCAGTTGTTCATTACTCTACTAATTTTATTTATTAACTTGGAATACTTAAAAAGAGGAATGTATGATGTAATTCTTTTACTTTGTCATAAACAATCTTAGGCCAAGATAGTTTCTTATAAAAGAACTGTGATTTATGTTAAATTTGTTCTACTACATTTCAGTTGATTTACAGTCAGATTGGATCAGATTTGTGTTTAATTCCAGTAATAAACTAGCACTGATTCAACTTGTTCTTTTTGATACTGCTGGTTTTTAGTCTGCCTCTGAAGGAAGCAACACCAAATGCTACAGCTTCCCTGCCAGATAAGTTAAATATTCAAACCAATTTCAATCAACTTTAACGGAAGAAATTTTAACAACTTCAGGGGGAATAAAAAAAAATTTTTTTTTCCTATGTAGCTCTGTAGAGGAAATTCAATGTAACAATCAATCAAGGAAAATCTGAAATTTTAGAATTTGGGACTCAAATTTGAAGGACCCAGTGTATCAAAGGACTTGTATCTGAAGATTGAAAAGCTCACTCAAGAAGCTCTGTTGCTATGTATCTCAAAACACTATGTTGTTCTGCAGTCTGAGGGCTGAACATGACCAAAGGCTGGGAAATGATGCTAAGGAAGTATCATGTATGCTTGTCCTGTTCTTACATTGTTCTCTGGCTATCTGCTTATGGCTGCTGTAGAAGGACAGGATACTGTGGTAGTCATTTGACTAGTTAAGGTTGGAAAACAGGCATGGAAGGCAAGAAGAGCTGCAGGGAACTTGCATCTTGACTTCAGCCTAGAGAAGGTTAAATGTAAAGGAGTGGTGTGGGGTGGTCTTTTCACTTGCTTAAACAGAATTAGAACAGCAGTTAGGTGCTGTACAGCACATGGTGGTAGGTGTGTTATTGGTTTGGTATGTTCCTAGCCCAATCCCACTTTGTTCTTAGACCAGCACTACTTGTACATTTTTTTCACAGGTGCCATAGGTGTTAAGTATTTTGTCTCCATTCTTTCTGGGTATTGACTCTGTCAGGAGGTTGAATATGCGTTTTGGTAACTGCTGGTATTATGCTATATCTCTTTGTCTGGGTTTGTTGTGTTTGTGGTGTTGTGGTTAGTTTGCGCACTTGTTTGTTTTGCATTGACATCGTGACACATTCAAATTAGTTTGTTCTTTTCTCTTTTGTATTTTCAGCTGCAGGCTGTGGGAAGCTGCAGGCTGTGAAAGTTGGTTGGGTGAAATATTTCTGTGCTTTTCGTTTTATATGTGCACTGCCTAATGATCTCTTACTGGACAAGAGAGCTCTTTTGCTGTAGCTGTCTCAGTGGTGTTCTTTCTCTACCTCCTATTCAAAAGAGAAGTTACTAATTGAACTTTTTTTTTTTCTTTTTTTTTACTAAAACTGCATACCTTTCATGCACCTTGAATTGGAGCCAGCTTTCTCTCACTGGGCTTGGTGTGTAAGTAAACTATGTATGCTACTCATGGTTTTGGTGTTTGGCTTTAAGTATTAAAAGATGCTCTTCTGTTTATGGAGCCAAATGTCAATTTTCCAGCTTTCTTTTATTCATGTATTTAATGTCCTGGCAGCTCCCTCTGGTGGACTTTCCTAATGTTACGTTGTAAATATGTTTCTCACCATGTTGATAATGGGTAGCAGTAGAATTCCACTGTCACTGCTTACTCTGGAAACATTGATATGCTTCATACCTTTTCTATAAATTCATGTGTTAATTTATTGTAACAGTACGCTGTGATCCACAGTTGTGTCATTCATTAACTTTGCTTGTAAGTGTAGTTGCTCACAGAATATGCAAAAGAGATGTTGCCAAATGTTGATTTGCCTGAGAGTATTGGGCTAGTATTAGCTGTGAAGGTGAGAACTAGTGTGGCTTCTAAAAATAGCAAAGACTGTCTCTGTTCAGTGTAGTCTATAATAATAAACAAGAAGTTACAGTTTTGGAAGCTGTTAGGCTTTACAGTTTTTGAAATTTAAGCAATTGTACTAAAAGCTAAAGGATTAGTGTTCTTGCAGTGCCAGTAAATCAGGAATTGAGCAGTGGTACTTGTTATACCATTGATACCAATGTTAGTTGACCCTGTTCTCTATCCATTGCCCTGGATACAAACTGTTTCTTCCTTGTGTAAACTCCTAAAACTAGTGTTTATGTCTGTAAATGATGCTCATCTTGATCTGTCAACCCTAGAATGCTCCTCAGTTGCTAGGTTTAGGTAACATTAGTCAGTCCATCATAAAGTCAGAGGCTTTTTATTGTTCATCCAAAAATTTTACTCTATCTAGATCTTGCTGTAATGATATCTGAAAAAGGGGAATGTACTTCCTATTTCAGCTTGCAAGAACTCATTAATTCACCAGTTGTTTGAGAATCAGGGGAGCAAATTACATAAATCTAAAAATTGTGAAGAACTGAAAGGAAAATGGGGAACTGTTGAGAATACTGCAAGACAAAGTAAAAAAAAAAAAAGTCTGCAGATCTTATAACATTAAGAAATAACATAGCTGAAAACTAGAGAACACTCAACAGCTGAACAACTGCAATGTAACCTGATTTACTTTTAAAATGCGGAATAAATCTTGCAGGATTAGTTCAAGGTGTTTATTACTTCCCTTCAGGGTTTGTCCAAAGGAAGTGGTGTCTCCCTGTGTTGCAGCTAATCTGTTGAAGAACATTGTGGAATATGCCAAATCGGTTCAGTGTGCATGGTCAAAACCATAACGTGTTTAATTTATGCAGTATAACACTACTGGACTACTAAAACTGCAATACAAAACTAATTTTAAAACTAACTAGATGGTGGAACGGCCTTGATAGGATGGGGTGAAATTTTAGAGAAAATTTGAAGACTTATTGAGCATGAGAATCTTTCTAGTAAGATACAAATGCGTGCTATCCAGTGGTATACAAGCCCCTGTTGCATGGTCACAGACATAACTGTCTTTTACATTCTGATTAAAAGAGTGAGGCTGAAGCCATTTCTTAAAGCATCAGGAATCTCAGCATCTAAAACCTAGGAATGCAGTTAAACACGATCTTACCTGGGCTAGTCTGATGATATGTTGCCATCAAACTGATTCGTCTTTCTGACATGCTGCCATTAATTCCTTTGCACATACTCTGACCTAGGTTTCACAGTAATTTAATTCTGGTCAAGCTGGAGATGTGACTGAGATGAATGTGATGTGGGATAGTTTGTTTTTCTTGTTTTCTGCAAGGGCTAGTTTAGGGTTTATTTCTGGTAGTTTCTTCAAGGCACTTCTTGAAATGCCTTAAAAAGTGAGGGAATTTCCTGCACAACCAGCTGGAAAAACACTCCAGAAAAGAACTTCAGGGTATGGTCTTTGCATAGAAAGCATATAAACACAGAATAACATGGTAATGTGGACGAAACTCTGTGAAGATACTTTGCATGCACACTAATTAAATCCTAACGTTAGTCATGCGACTTAGTTATGTAGCTTTGCTTTCAGAGATGCATGCTAGGAGTGCACTTGACATGGGAGAAATCTACCCACAGCTTTTTCAGTAGAATCAACATATTAAAATGAAAATCTGAGTCAGTTGTCTATGCATAGGCAGCTGGTGCTATCTGAGATGCACTGGGATATCAGACATTCACCCAAGGCTCATCTATGTCATGGGAGGTACAAAGGACCTGAACTTCTGGAGCAGCAGTTGGAGGCCAAACAAGGCACCTTAGGATGCTTTACGTGTCACTCAACACCAGTCTTCAACTCAGTCGCACTGTGAATGTCTAAGACATTATTTGTACTTTTGCATGTGAAAGCCTGCTACAGTTTTGCGCTGGTAAATATGGAATAGGCTGGAGTTCAGAGACATTAAAAATATTCTCTAATTGTAGATTTCCTCCTTCCTCACCACTGAAGTCATATCCAAAGAAACCTTCATGTGGAAAGGAAGTCATTAAATTTCCAGACTGGAATGAACCAAAGGCTGGCACTTCCCAAGAACACATCCCAGTGAAGTCAGTCATGATGGTAAGATATTCAGTTTTCATTTCCCCAGACATAAGCATATTTGGAAAGCAAAACTGAATGAACACAAAATACTTGGTTGTTAAATGCAAAATGCTTTTATTTTAAACTTACATGAAGTAAAGTTCTTAATGATTTGCTGGGGATGTTGGCTTCGCATGTTCTTTCTGCTTCAAATTATGATGTTCCAAGCATCCTAAATTCAGCATGTCTGTATTTGCTGGTATGATTTCATTGCAGTTTGCTCAAATTCCAACAAGACACTATGCAAGACAAAATAGTTACTTTACTGTCACTTACACTGTAACTCTTATTCAGACACTTCATGTAGCAGAATATATACGGTATTCCTTCCTTCCTAGATACTATGAGGTTGTTAGCAATTCAGTTTCCTTTTTAGAAAGGAATATGTTGTGGCTAGAAGTGGTCTTGGTTTCATTGTTACCCACTGTAAGTTTAGATAATCCTCCTGCCCCATACTTACCTGTATTGATCCAACCTTTGTAAAGTTGTTGAAAAAACTGTTGCCTTTATGAGTAAACCAAAATTGTATCAACCCTTGTCACCTGGACATCTTAAAAGTCTAGGCTTCTGAAGTTATGCATATTCTAACCCCTTCCTCCAGCACATCTGGTATGTGAGTGTTCTCATATTTTGTGAGCTTTTGGGACTTCTTTGATAGTTTTTGCCTTTTTATTAATACTCATCATTGCAGGACACTAGCCTTGGTCAGATATATATAGGCAGTCCTTTTCTAACTGACTCAGATGCAACAGCATACAGTCTAGCATAGCTCAAAATCTCTTGCATTGGCAGTTTTGGTAAATACAGTGGACTGTAAATTGAAGTAACTGAGGCAAAGGAATAAGCTTCTTTCTGCTGGGTCCTTTATAGAAAGGTGCATCTTCCACTGAAATGGTGAAGTACACAGGTAGCTGAAAATGTGGGCACCTTAAATTGCTTCAGCATCAGAAGACTTCCTGGCTGTGAATAGATTGATTGGCAAGGGCCTGTGTAGTGAAATATGTAGTGAAGTACTGTTGTGGAAGACCAGATACTAATTTTAGAGGGTGCTGTTTATTTCAAACTAGCTCTAGTCTGGTGTCATGGAATGACAGATGATTAGTATTTGGAGTAACTAAGTGCATTCCTGGAGTGCATTTTGTGGTTTGGTTGTGATCACAAGGAATAGTTTTAAAGTGTTTTAGGACTGCTTTGTGATGTAAATCAAAGAACTGGGAATGATTAGGAGTTTTGCCTTGAAAAGTACACGGCTGACAGACTGTTTTTTATGTCCATCCATTGACACGTTGATGATAATCTTCAAGCATCAAGCTTGGATGTGAAGGTTGAGTAAAGGATGGTCTCTTGCATTCTCTGCTTTATTTTGTTATAATGGTGAACTAGATCTGATAGTTGTCTTCAGCTTTTACTTTGTTCATGTATAGAACCTGCTAGTGAACTTAACTGTTATGATCAGTATATGCTGAACAAAGATGAAGGTCTTTGATATCTCATCTAATAATTATCCAATAATTTTTCCATAAACAGATGTTTAATCTTAGATTGGTAGCTGAAAACGAGTTGAACTCATTTTAATCATGGAGAAGATCTGAATTTATGACTAGAGGTCACTGACTCCTGATCTGTAATGGTTCTTCTAACACATATAACTTTTTCGCTTTGGACGAGTTACGTAGCTGACAAAAGATGCTGCGTGTCTGTGAAACTTAAACAATTGTCTGTATTTTGGAAACTTTGCTGGAATTGAAGAATATTTAAAATACTTGCAATAACGAGCATGCTGTGCTATAAATGTATTATACTATTTAATACTTGCAAAGTCACCAGTTAACGAGGAGTGTTTTTTCTGATTTCAGAACTCTGAGATGTGGTACAAGAGGCACAGTATAGCTATAGGGGAAGTACCAGCATGCAAACTTGTGTTCCGCAGAGAGGTAACACAAAGAAATATAGAAGAGATATGGAAATCCATGACTTTGTCACGGTGAGTATACTTGTGAGTCATTTGCTGCTATTATAAAACTGTGTAGTCAGTAATAGCTTTGTCTGTCTTCTCTGGTAATGCTTCTAATTTCACCTGCTCACTTTTAATCATTGCCATAAAAGCTGTAGTGGCTACACTAACTATACTGCTTGTTATTAAACTAAGAATTCAGCAAATTAAGTTTACAAAGAAACTTTGTTTAATACCTTTTGACTTTTAGCTGTTGTGTTAGACAAGTCCTTTTGTTGTGTGGGCATTGTCTTGTTTAATCACTTTTTTTCCTCATTCTCTTTTTTTTCTTGTTGTTGTGGTCAAAGATGGAGTCGTACATTTCACTTGTAAGAGAGAAGCAACTGTATTTTATTGATATAAAGTAGTGAGTTAACAAAGTTCAATGGTAAATGTGACAGTGGTTTAACAAGATTAGATGACAAGGTACACTAGATTATTTATAGCATAGAGGACAGGGTCAGACAAAACTGTCAGGGAGACCCTCCCATTGAGTTATGAAGTTCAGAAAGGACCTCCTTGCTTCTTAAACTCCTCCTCAGAGAGGAGTCTAGGCACAGCTGGATCCACTCCTAGTCCCAGACGTGGTCAAACGTTTATGTCTAAAGGATTATGTATGCACAATCAATCCTTTATATCACTTAGTTATAATTGCAAAGTTTAACATGTTATTAATCACTTAATGAGAATCTGTTGCAGCAAGGACTTGTAACCTTGAGAGGTGTCCCTCCTCAAGCAGAGATGCTGATGTCCAGCCACTGCTGCACAGGAGAGCTCAAAGGGCCCTGGGCTGTCCAGCATTTATGAAGTATGATGCTTGATTTGTCTTGCTGGCATGCAAGTATAACTACATCTGGCTCACCATTCCAGACAGCCCTTGGCTATTATGTTGCTATCCTTCACCCAAAGTCCCCAGTAAGTTGGATGTGGCCATTACAATAGCCACTGGTGGTTATAGCTTAAGCAGGGCTGGGGAAGGGAGCAAACTTCCATAGCTATGAAATAGAAGCACTTTTGTAGAAGTGTGATACCATAAAACTTTCAATGACAAGTACAGTACTTTGCATGAGATAAGAAATGCAGTAGCTAATTGAGTGCTGAAGGCTCTGAGATTCAGATGTTCTTTACTATTTCCAAAAGGAATATCCTATGTAAAGTTAAAGGCATTACTTTAGCCTGTTTATACAGGAGGGGAAAAAAAAAAGATATTTTTACAGTACAGTTGAGGCCTTATGAAGCATAGCATGGTTTGGGTTGGAAGTGACCTTAAAGACCATCTAGTTCCACCCCCCTGCCATGGGCAGGGACACCTTCCACTAGCCCAGGTTGCTCAAAGCCCTGTCCAGCCTGGCCTTGGACACTGCCAGGGAGGGAGCAGCCACAGCTTCTCTGGGCAACCTGTTCTGGTGCCTCACCACATTCACAGTAAAAAATTTCTTCCTCATATCTAATCTAAATCTACCCTTTTTCAGTTCAAAACCATTACTCCTTATCCTTTCACTATATTCCCTGACAAACAGTCCCTCCCCATCTTTCCTGTAGCCCCCTTTAAGTACTAGAAGACCAATGTAAGGTCTCCCCAGAGCCTCCTCCAGGCTGAACAACACCAACCTTCTCAGCCTGTCCTCATAAGGAAGGTGCTTCAGCCCCCCATTATCTTTGTGGCCCTCTAGACTCACTTGAGCAGGCCTATGTCCTTCTTATGTTGGAGGCCCCAGAGGCGAATACAGTACTGCAGGCACAAGAACAGAGTAGAGGGGCACAATCATCTCCTTCGTCCTGCTGGCCACACTCCTCTTGATGCAGCCCAGGATACAGTTTGCTTTCTGGACTGTGAGTGCACATTGCTGGCTCATAGTCAGTTTTTCCATCCACTACTACTCTTCACATCCTTCTTTACACAGCTGCTCTCAATCCACTCATCACCCAGCCTGTATTTGTGCTTGGTATTGCCCTGACCCATGTGCAGGACCTTGCACTTGGCCTTGTTGAACTTCATGAGTTTTTCACTACCCCACCTCTCCAGTCTGTCCAGGTCCCTCTGGATGCCATCCCTTCCCTCCAGTGTGTCGACCGCACCACACAGCTTGGTGCCATCAGCAAACTGCTGAGGGTGCGCTCGATCCCACTGTCCATGTCACCAACAAAGATGTTAAACAGCACCAGTGCCAACACTGACCCCTGAGGAATGCCACTCGTCACTGCTCTTCACCTGGACATCGAGCTGTTGACTGCAACTCTTTGAGTGCGACCATCCAGCCAATTCCTTGTGCACCGAGTTGTCCATCTGTCAAATTCATGTGTCTCCAATTCAGAGACAAGAATGTTATGCAGGACAGTGTCAAATGCTTTGCACAAGTCCAGGTAGATGACATCAGTTGCTCTTGCCTTACCCACCAACGTTGTAACCCTGTTATACATGCCAATCACCTGCTTATTTTCCATGTGCCCTAGCATCACTTCCAGGAGGATTTGCTTCATGATATTTTTGGGCACAGAGGTGAGGCTAACTGGTATAGTTCCCCAGGTTGTCTTTATTTCCCTTTTTAAAAATGGGTGTTATGTTACTTTCTAAACCTAGCACATTATGTAATAAACTTGATGCTGCATCAAGCAGCTCCAGTGCTAGCATGGTCTGCAGCAGAGTGATCTAGCACTGAACAATGGGGTTTCCTTAACTGAGGAAATGTCAGAGGAGCCAAGAGACCTGCCGGGAGCCCGCAGTTCATACAACAGAGGCTGACAAGACTTGACTAGGGCCAGGAGCAATGGTGGCCAACCCCTGTCCACTCCTGACCAGTTTAAAAGAAGTCCCTACAGAGTGCTATCAACCAGGGCAGGCAAACAAGGCATGGTGCAGCAGTTTGCATGGAAGGGTGCACAGGGAGGTCTGCCATCTCAACCAGGGAGCAATGGTATCTGCACAGCAAAAACGTATGTTCTCTCTAAACTCTGCATCTACCACAACTAATGCGGCTGCTGAGACAGAGCTCCAGTGGGAACATGCTGCCACCCAGGTGCCAGACAGCAGGGTGGGCCCTGCTCTTAGGCCAGTACTGGACAGCCATAGCAAGCACACCTGTGGGAGGTGCGCCCAGGTAGAACTCCTCTGCTTAGTGACAGAGCTCCAGGAGGAGGTGAGTAGACTGAGGAGTATCAGGGAGTTGGAGAGAGAGAGATAGATTAATGGAACTGCACCTTATGTTCTCTGGGACAGGCCTGGAAGGCATACAGGACACATGGTATGAAGGACTTCCTATCCTCTTCCTGCCTGGCTGAACATGGTGACTGAAGAGACAGAGGACAATGATGACAAGTTCTTGCCTGGAGCAACAGACAAATCTATCTCCTCTGTGACTACCCCCCACCTTCCCCTTGCATAATAGTTATGAGGCTCTGCAAGTGGGACCAAACAATGGCTCATCTAGGTCAGAGGTATCACCAAGGTTAAGGTTAAGTAGGCCTACACCCTGCATCAAAACCACTCCATAAAGAAAAAAAGATGGGACATTGTCATAGGAGACTCTCTTCTGAGTGGAACAGAAGGCCCAATATGCAGATCAGACCTACTACTTAGGGAAGTCTGCTGCCTCCCTGGGGCCTGGGTTAAAGATGCAAGAGAAAACTTCCTACCCTGGTACAGCTGGATTATTATCTGTTATTGATTTTTCATTTAGGCAGTGGTGAAGTTCCAGTAACAAGTCTAAGGGCAATAAAGATATACTTCAGGGCCTTGAAATGACTGGTTAAGGGATCCAAAGGACAGGTAGTGTTCTGTGTCCTTCCAGTTGCAGGGATTGATGAGGGAAGAAACAAGAAGACTCAACAGATGAATATCTGGCTCCAAGACCGGTGTCACCAGCAGAATGTTGGCTTTTTGATCACAGGTTGGTCTACACAACACCAGGCCTTCTGGTGACAGATGGGGTACACCTGTGTCAAAGAGGGAAAAGGACCTTTGTGCAGGAGTTAGCAGGGTTCATATAAGGAGTTTTAAACTAGATTTGAAGGTGGAAAGGGATAAAAACAGGCTTGTAGAGATAAGCCTGGGGGCAGCATACTGATGTTTGAATGGTGGTGTGCTAACAAGGTCCTTCAGTCTGCTTCATGATGTGCTGAGTACACTGGAATGCATTTGAAATGTCTTTATACTAGTGTGCACAGCATGAGGAATAAGCAAGAGGAGTTAGAAGCTTTGGCACAGTCCCAAAGCTATGATGACGTTGGCAGAAGTGAAAGCTGGTGGGATGAGTCCTGTGACTGGGGTGCCATGGTGGATATTTATAGGGTCTTCAAGAGGGATAGACAGGGCAGGCAAGGTGGTGGAGTAGCACTGTATGTAAAGGAGGTGTTGGATTGTATGGCATTTGCAGTTAGTTACAACACGATTGAGAGCTTCTGGGATGAATGGAAAAGCAAATAAATTGGATGTTGTTGTGGGAGTCTACTATTGATCACCCAGACAGGATGATGAAATTGACAAATTATCCTACAAGGAATTAAAGGGTATATCTAGATGAACTGCCCTTGTCCTTACGGGTGATTTTAAATGCCCAGACATCAATGGAATATACAGTGGACAAACAGGTCCAGTAAATTTCTGAAGCATGTTGAAGTTTACTTCTTGGTGCAGGTAGTAAGGCAGCTGACAAGGAAAGGTGCCCTCCTAGATTTTTTTATTTGTAAACAGAGAGGGACTTGTGGACTAAGTGGTGATTGGTGACTGTCTTGGTCACAGTGACCATGAAATAGTTGAGTTTGAAATCATTGGCAACAGGAGAAAAACTGCCAGCAAGACATCAACCCTGGATTTGGGGAGAGCACACTTCAGGCTGCTGAAGGAGCTAGCTTGTAAGGTTTCCTGGGAATCTGCTTTTGAAGGTATTGGGGTCCATGAATGCTGGTCACTTTTTAACAGCCATCTCTTAAGAGCACAGGAGCAGGCAATTCCAAAGTCAAACAAGTGGGCAGAAGAGTGGCTTGGCTGTGTAGAGATCTAGAGTTTAAGCAGAAAAGCATACAGACCATGGAAGCAAGGACAGGTGACACAGGACAGAGAGGCTGTTCACCACTTTAGGGAGAAAATTCGTGCAGTAGAGCTTGTTAAGAGTTCAAGCTGGCCAGCACTGTGAAGGAGAACAAAATGAGCTTTTTAAAATATGTTAATAGCAAGGAGAGAATCTGAGATAACATTGGTCCATTTCTTGATAAAGTCAGTCACCTCAGAAGTAGGGATGTAGACAAAGTGGAGACATTTAATGCCTTCTACACCTCTGTATTCAACACTGATGATGGGCTATGGAACTCTTGGAGTTCTGTGTTAGAAGACAGTGACTGAGAGGATGATAAACTCTCAGCTGACCCTGAACTTATTTGACACTTGCCACTCCAGCTGGATGTGCTAAATCTATGGGGCCTAATGATTCATCCCAGGGTACTGAAAAAGCTGGCTGATGTCATCATGGGACCTCTACACTTTTTTTTTTTTTTTTCTACAGTCCTGGTGGTTTGGAGAGGTCCCAGTTGACTGGAAGCTGGCAAGTGTTGTCCCTATTTTCAGTAAGGGTAAAAAGGAAGACCCTGGTAATTACAGGCCTGTCTGTTTTGCTTCAGTGCCTGGTAAAATCATGGAGAACATATTCTGGGAGTTATTGAAAAACACTTGACCAATGACTGCATTGTCTCTCATAGCCAGCATGGATTCACAAGGGAAGAGTTTTGCTTAACCAACTTAATTTCCTTTTATGACAAGGTCACCTATCTAGTTGACCAAGGGAAGCCAGTAGATGTGGGGGTTTTGGATTTTTGCAAAGCTCCTGATAGTGTGTCTCACAGTATCCTAGATACACTGCCCAGCACACAGCTAGACAAGTTCGTAAGACATTGAGTGAGCAACTGGCTGATGGGTTGGACTCAAAGGGTTATAGTAAATGGGGTTACATCAGGCACAACAGTCACTAGTGGGGTTCCCCAGGGCTCAAATGATCTGGATGCAGGAATCTAATGTGTATTGAGTAAGTTTGCTGATGATACTATATTATATGGAAAGGTGCTGATCTCTCTTTGGTGACCAGCAATAGGACCTGAGGAAATGGAGTGAAGCTGTGTCAGGGGAAGTTCATACTGGACATGAGTTCTTCACTGAGGGGGTGGTCAGTCACTGAAACAGGCTCCCCAGTGAAGTGGTCACAGCATCAAGCCTGTCAGAATTCAAGGAGCATCTGAATGACATTCTTAGTCATGTGATTTAGTTTTAGGTAGTCCTGCAAGGAGCAGTGATTTTGACTTAGTGATCCTTATGGGTCCCTTCCAACTTGAGATTCTGTGATTCTATGAAATGGAGAAATCTCTTTCTCAGAATTTGTATCTGTCCCAATGCTACTTGTTTACCTTTTTCAGATTAGATGACATATGAATTATGTGTTTATGTATTTTTACAGATTACAAAAGGTTTTGGGTTTGGACTCTCTGGATGAAGTGTTAGATACAAAACTTGTGAATTCAAATCACATAGTCCAAAATGCATACAATGTCAATAAACAAGGCATTGTCACTTTAGAAGACAAATCAAGTGAGTATTTTAGAAGTTTTCATTTAACTTTTTTATATTGTAGTTTACTAGTATAAAAAAGGGTATTAGTTCTAACACATATTAAAATGTACTTTCTTTATACTCATATGACCACATGTATACTAGGGTTTTTACAAAGTATGCCATTGTTGTCCTCTGACATCCCAATAGCAAGAATCAATGTTTATTCCACATTTACTCTCTTAAACATATTCCTGCTTCAGCAGAATTGATAGATGAAGGTAAAAGAGCAGCAACTTTTAATTTATAAAGACAGGGATATTATTCACTTCAAGCTGGCTTTGTCAGCTCAGCCCCTTAATTGCTTGAACTGGAGAGTTTACATGAACAAAATGTGCATTAAAAATTGAGGAAAAATCAAGCTGTACACAGATTGATGCTTAAATTTTCTCAGTTTTGAGCTTTCAGTCAATGTATTTTGAAACTAGTGCCAAGTTTAAAACTGCTTTGCACATCAGGGAGGAAGTAAGCAACTTTGTTGCTGTGATATGTCACAATATTGTTGCCACCATGTTTTCTGCAAGATTTGTGGAGAAGTGAAATATGAGATTGGAACCTGGTTTGGTTTGTGAACGAAACCTTCTCTCCAGAGCAGACACATGTTCATTTTAAAGACAGTTTGAGCACCTTAAGATACTAACTTCCTCCTTGCAGAAATGACAGAACTGAATGTATGAGTGCTTTACATCATCTTCAGTGCAGAGTGAATGTTTCACTGTAATGAACTAGTGAAGGTGTATCTTGAACTATAATAGTTTGGATGATTTTTGCAGGGCAGGTTAAGGAATTGCTGTATGATCCATTTTGTTGATTTGAGTTGTAAAAGCAGTGGGCATAACTAGTTGATACTGTGTACTGGAGGTAGTAAAGTACAGATGTAATTCAAGCTAGATTCTACATTAAGGCATAGCCTGCCTTTGCAATCAGTTAATCTACTACATAGGAGGAACTTAAAGAATTTTCAGCTTCACTTCTGTCTTTCAGTTTAATGTTTTTCTCAGCTTTTTCTCCTTTTAATTTTTATCTGTTTCTCCCACGTGCAGAGGAACTACCTCACTGGATATTATCAGCAATGAAGTGTCTAGCAAATTGTAAGTAAATTCAGGAGGTGGGGAGAAAAAACAACCCTCATAAAAATCAATTGAACTGACTGTGCCTTTACCACTTTATCAAATCCTGTTTGTATTCAGAGCCAATATTTTTTTTGATCATTGCCTTAAGCAAAGTTGGGAAAGATCAGCCAGCATATATTCTACTGCCAGTGCATTTATTTCAATGAAATTTATAAAGGTTTAACTATTCTATTCATATTTTTCCTCTACTATGTGTTTTCACTAGGCCTATTGGAAATAGATCAGTTCGACAGATCAGTACAATTTCACTTAATATTTTGAAGAATGAGTCTAAATATGTGTGGTGTTTTTTTTTCTACTTGACATTGCATTTTTATTGGCAGGAGTAGAAAATAGTGATCTGGTTGGTGACTGCAAATCAATTTTTTTTTTTTTTTTTCATTGTAGGGCCCAGCTGCTCAGATTTGAAGCAGCCTACATACTCAGGATTTGAAAGAGATGTCTTCAAAACTATAGTGGACTACTTTGGCCAGACAAAAGAACCTCTTCTCACATTTCATTTTTTTGATGTTTTTGTTAGTGTGTTAGGTAAGTAGTGTGGGATGTAATGAAAAAATTATTTTTCTGAATTAACTTTCTGAAATTAACTTATCATACCCAAATATTATCTATCACATCTTATTTCTTTAGGACCTGTCCTGTGCATTCTACATACAGAACAGTTTAATATTTAAATTTATTTGATATCACAAGGCAGTTTTATTCTTGTCTTTTTGATCACATTAGTTCAAAAGTCTTCCACTAGCTGTCTTTATAATTTTTAAAGTCATCTGTTCATTGCTTAATACTGGCTCACCTAATGAAATTTATCAGATTTTTCTCTTTTTTTTTCACAAATGGCCAAGCATCTTAAAAACTCACATAAGCTTTTAGAAATTGCTTGACTGAAGTCTAGATTAAAAAAGATTAGGGCTATAAGGACGTTTTTTAACCCTGGCAATATGACATCTGTAGGAAATTAAAATCCTTCATTGCTTGAACTTAGAAAAGATATTGACTAGTGCTTTAAAGAAACAATAGTTTAGTTAGTAACTATAACTTTTTAAGGGTTCACACTATGTCAAATTCACCTATCTTGTAGCTATAGATGGCCCACTGAAAGACAATAAATGTGAAAATATTTGATTACATTTTATGGCTGTGTTTCAGAAAAGAATAACTGAGTTGAAAAGTAAGCATGCTTTGTAGAACTTCACTTTTCTGAGCTTCTTTAAATGGAAACAACATTGCTTTTCATAAATTATGGAGATGAAAAAACAATTCAGAATAACACTTATTTCTGGAATTTAAAATTTTTATACCTTTTTTGTTGATAATCTTGCTTCAAACTGAATATAGTTCCTTTTCTGCTTCTTTTTCTTAGATAACTGATAGTCTTGATAATATTTTAAAAAATTCTTCCTTTCCATGCATACTCTTTCTGTTTGCTTTTCCATGGTATTTCACATCTTTCAGGTTTTAAGAGTTTTTTTAGTTTGCAGTACTTCACAGATGTAAAAATGAGAAGAAAGAATTCATGCCAATGTTTATGTGAAAAGGAAAGGAAATCATGCACTGTTTCAAAAAGTCAAAAAATAATTTTGTGGTCTCTTTCACAAATAAAATGAGGTGTTAATACGGAATCCTTCCTTACTAACAAAAATAGATTTGCACAAAGAAATCATGAGGATGCAGGCTTTCAAAACTGCCTAGTTTGTTTTCCATCTTCATACTTAAACAATTTTCTTTAAAATACTGGCAGTATATCACAGAATCACAGAATTATCTAGGTTGGAAAAGACCTTGAAGATCATCCAGTCCAACCTAACACTGACAGTTCCCCAATACACCATATTCTTCAGCGCTATGTCAGCACAACTATTAAACACCTCCAGAGATGGGGACTCCACCACCTCCCTGGGCAGCCCATTCCAACACCTAACAACTCCTTCTGTAAAGAAATGCTTCCTAATGTCTAGTCTAAATGTTCCCTGATGCAACTTGAGGCCATTCCCTCTTGTTTTACTGCTTGTTACTTGATTAAAGAGACTCGTCCTCAGTTCTCTGCACCCTCCTTTCAGGTAGCTGTAGAGGGCGATGAGGTCTCCCCTCAGCCTCCTCTTCTCCAGACTAAACACCCCCAGTTCCCTCAGCCGCTCCTCGTACGACCTGTGCTCCACAGCCTTCAGCAGCTTTGTTGCCCTTCTTTGGAAATGCCTAATTTCTCTAGAAGTCTTGCCTAACAGCCTCTTTCAGACACCTAACAGAGGTATCTGAATGGCTAAAAAGCTGAATTTGGCCTTAGTGGGATGATTTGGGATACCTGAGGTAGTCACCCTCACTGACAGGGATGATGTTGGGCCAGATGTTCCCCAGGTGTCTTTTCCATTTTGTTAATAATTCAAGACTACCATCCCTATGTAGCCAGTGGAAGGAGCTCAGGAAGACAATTCAACATACCTGTGGTGAACCTTAACTCCCCCTTTTGTACTCAAAACTACTTAGAACCAGCAGTAAGAAAATAAACAAATATGAAACAGAGATGTCCAATCTATAATTTCCATAGCAAGGTCTTCTCTAACCATTCAGACTCTCTTCTGAGATTTGATCTGTGGTTCTTGGGGGTGAGGGAGAGGGATTGGGAGGAGAAAGGGCTTTTTGGTGGATTCAGCTGAGAGAGAAAGGGGGAAGTTTTGGTTTCTGCTCAATATGTAATTAAAATATGTAGTGAACAATGAGGCTAATGTACAGACCATTATGAAGCTGTAAGTAACTGTAGAGGATAATGCACACTCCCTAGAATACTATTTTGTAATAAGTATCAATGCTAGTACTGAATGCTGCTTGTGAAGCAGTAATTGTTTAGCAAGTTGTGCATTCACAAAACATGGAAAAACAGATCTGTGTCTGCAGTTGCATTACTGTGTTTTCTAATGGTGTATGGCTTGTTAAATTGGCAATAATTCTCAATCTTAAGACTTAAACCCAAGATTTCCATCTTTGAGTCTTTGACTTTTCATGTTGCTATCCTCAGGGAATTACAACCTTTTCACAGGGATTATAGGACTTCTTTCCTCCTTCTGTGTACAATTTTTCTGTTTAGTCAAAGATTTCAGGAAATACAAAGTGTTATCAGATGATATCTTTAGTCATTTGAGGCAGCCATAATGTGATTTGTACATGTTTACAAGCTCCATCTTAAAAACCTCAGAAATATTTTTGGAAATCATAGGTATCTTGTGTAACCAATATTAAGATGCCTCATTTACTTCTGTTTTCAAATGAAGACTGTCCAAAGCACTTCTCTTCCAAGAGGTTGGCTGAAATTAGTTTTCAGAATAGCTAAGAAAATAAGACTAAGGTACCAGTGATCATCAGATATTTTACTGACTTGATAAGATTAAACTTATTTTTGGCACAGTTTAAAATGTTTCTTTCTGTGCAAACCTCATTAAGGTTAATTATTTCTCAGGGCCTCTTCTGAACATATGCACTAGTGTGCTTGCCAAATCTTCCTTTGAAATTAGAAGAAGCTTTGCTTTGAAAATGAAATTAACTACAATGCTTTACCACTCATTTCTTGAGCTACTGTTTTAGCTGTCCTGCTTAATACTGCACACTTCTGTGTTCTTTTTAATAACAGCTTCTATTTTTGCACAGTGTGGAACTGACTGACATGGTGGACGAGTTGGCAGCAGTGGAGTTGACTGTAGTAAAACTTTCAACAATGTCCTTACAGGCATCACATCCTTGTAGGCAAACTTTATCACATCTTTATAGGCAAACTGAGCAATTACAGGCTAGATAGGTGGGTAGTGAGGTAGACTTAAAATCAGCTGAGTTGCTGGTCTCAGAAGGTTGTGATCAGTGGCACAAAGTCCAACTGGGGGTCTATCAGTAGGAAGTACCCCAGAGCTGGTAATGGGACCAATAGTGGTTAATAATTCATTAATTACCTGGTTGGTGGGACACTGTTGTAAACAAGGACAGAGTGCCCTAAACAAGTGTGCAGATAATACAAAATGTGGAAGAGCAGTTTATGCAGTAGAGGGTTGTACTGCTATGCAGAGGGACATCAACAGGCTGGAGAAAAGGGCAAACAGGAATCCCATAATGTGCAACGAAGGGAAATGCCAAGTCCTTTGCTGGGGATGAATAACCCCATGTACTAGTTTGTGCTGGGATTGTCTGATTTGAAAGCAGCTTTACTGGGAAGGACTTGGCAGTCCTGGTGGGCATCAGTGTGACCATGAGCCAACAGTGTGTCCTTGTTGCAAAGGTGACCAGCAGCATCCTTAGCTGCATTAAGAACATTGCCAGCAGTTTGAGGGAGACCTTTCCTCAGCGCTGGTCAGTGACTCCAGTGGAGGACCACAGAAATTGTTTAGGGCTTGGACCATATATCATATGGGGAGAGGCTGAGTGCAGGGACTGTTTAGCCTGGAGAGAAGGCTCGGGGTGGATCTTATTAATGTGTACAAAAGACTGATGTCGGAGGAGTAAAGAAGAGGAAGCCAGACTTCTCTCAGTGATATCCAGTAACAGGACAAGAGGCAATGGGCATGAACAGAAATGCAGGAAACTTCATTTATACATAGGAAAATAGCTTTATTAATTGGAAGGTGATCAATCACTGGAATATGTTGTCCAGAGAGGCTGTAGAATCTCTATCTTTGGAGATATTCAAAACCTGACTGGACATATTCCTGGGCTTGCTGTAGATGACCTGACTTTGGGTAGGGAAAGAGGTTTAAATAATCTCCAGAGATCCATTCCAACCTCTATAATCCTATGGAAAAAAAGAAGTGTATCTCTTTGTTTTATTCCTTGTTCATTTTAAAAGAGAAATTACTGTTAACTTCAGTCATGCAGATTTTGTTCCTGACTTCTGTTTTGTTATGATGCTAGTGCTATTTAGGCAGATGTGTAGTAGATGCTCCCTTCACTGAGCCTTAGAAACAAGATGATGACATTTTGGTGGTGAGACATTTTTACAGGTACCTAAACTACTATCAGACTCTAATGTGTCTGTCTCAAATTATCTCTACCATTCTCACATTCTGTGTTTTCTCAAGAGTTTTTAAGTAGGATTAGTCATATATTTAATTTCTATAGGAGTGAGAGACATGTCATAGCTATCACTGATGCGTAAGCACATCTTTTGTTTATATTCTGTCTCCACAGAGTTTTTATGTGGTTGCTACATTTGTGTATACATCACAGTTGTGTTTAGAGCTGAGGGTTATGAAAGACTAAAGGATAAACCAAAACATTGTAGCTTTTCATGTCTACTAATATTTAGAGTTGTTGGTTGTGTTTATTAATATGTCCTGATACATCAAAAGGAAATCCTGTAAATATTAAAACAAGGTGCTTAGTTCTAGTAGTCTAGGTCTAGGGATATCTTCCCAGACTCTTTGGGGAGTGGAGTTCTAAGGCAGTTCTGAATGAGTAGGAAAGGAATTTGGAGAGGTAGATGTAGAAATGTTATATTAAATGTTATGGAAATACGTAATTGAGAAATGTTGCTCAATCTCCCAATTGTATAAACCAGGTCTGCTGCAAAAACACAGCAAGGCCATAGAAGCTCTTCAGATATCTTGTCTCCTGCTGCCACCAGAAAATCGGAAAAGACTGCAGCTGTTGGTGAGGATGATGGCAAGAATTAGCTTGAACAAGGATTTGCCACCTCTTTCTGAATCAGTGAGGACCAGAACCTTGGTATGTATAGTGTAAAGCAAAAGGTCTAGACAAGGCTTTTGGAGTACCACAGATAAAAGATTCTTACTGGACTGTGTACATGAACTACAGTTTACTTGTTTGAAGAACAGTTTGACTATTCTGGCTATGTGGAAAGCTACTCTGAATTTTAATAAATCCTGATTTCTTAGTAAGTTGTGAGCAAATGAAGAATGGAGGTTTCCTTATCTTTCAAAATTAAGTCACCACTGATTTCACCACTGAGTAGGAAAAAAATGAAATACAGTAGAAGTCTCTACAATTCTTTATTGTTGCAGATGATGTGAGAAAAACGACTTCCTCTTTCAATCATAGTTAGAAATATGTAGCTGAATGCTTTAACTTGTTCTCAGCCATTAAAAAAAAAAAAATCCTACCAGTTTGTTTCAGTGTTAAGTTTTTTTAATCACTTAACTACAGAAATCTGAAAATAATTTTAATCAGATTTTGACAAAGCCCTAGTTTTGCTAATGCTCTTTCTGTAGGATTGTTTGTAGAGTTATCATTGATGTTTGTAACAACATGTTATTACAGTTATTAGCCATAACTTAGCAGTTCTGACTGGCTAAGAATTTGTATTTCTTTCAGTTAATTTTCAAGTCTTTTACAAGAAGGGCAACAGAAAACTCAGGTGTAGAGCCACTCCATAAAAACCCTGTAGTAGCATGCATAAATCCAAATTTGTTCCCTAGCAATTACGTTTTTAAATACCTATGAATAGTATTTGATTAAAATAATTTTTTTTTTTTTACTACTAAGGTTATAATTTAATTAACTGGAAGTGGTCTTTGATTAAAATAATTATGTTATAATCTAAATGCTATTTTTAGAATTGAATCCTTTACAGTCCCAAGTATTTTGTACTACGTGTTATTTCAGCAGTGTGGACTGTGGTACATGACAGAAAATCTTGATTGTCTTCTGTGCTTTTAATGTTAAAAGTAACTGGTGCACAGACAGAATACTCTTGTAACTGAATGCTCGAGTGTGAGATTATATGAAGTAAGCTGGACCTGGTATTTTCTTTGATTTCAAAATGGTATTGTTTTCCCTCTGGTGCTTCTATTAAATTCCTGTGTTATTTTTAAAATCTCTGAAATATTTGTGCCCTTTTTAACTGGAAAAGCCATGTGAAGTGGCTATTTGACTAAAATCTTGAGAATAAAACTGAATTCAGCCATTCTAAGTCTAATGTCAGGGTTAGATTATGTATATGAGGCAAAAGACATTTTCAGACCACTTGGGTACTGTACAGAATATATATGTTTTTTAATATATTGATGTGTTGGAAGTATGGTAAGTATTGTGCTGTTAAAATCTTTTTTTCTAAAAGATCACTTTCTAAATACAGTCTGATCCCCCACACCCAAACAGAAAAATATACAATAATGATCTCTTTTGTCTCAGATGGTTCAGGCATTTTCCCGTTGTATTCTCTGCTCAAAGGATGAAATGGACTTGGATGAACTGCTTGCTGCTAAACTAGTATCTTTTCTCATGGACAATTATCAAGAGATCTTAAGTGTTCCTTCTGCTTTAAAATCTTCCATAGAGGAACATGTTGTACAGCTACAGAGAGTCCAAGTAGGTATCTAGTGAAAGAAGCCTCTTAAGTCTCTGCTTCTGATCTAATTTATCCTTTCTGCTCCCAGAGTTTCTCAGCTCTTAAAGACTTTCTTCTGTCTCTGCTTGCTTATGAAGAGCTAATTAACTTTCACTGCTGATATTCAACCATAACCATGTATTTAAATGAAACTGAGTAGATCTTCAATGGTTTAGAGACAAGAACTCTAAAATATGTTTTCCTGTTAGTCAGCACTGTCTTCTCCATGGAATGACAAAATTATGTTTCTGGTAGTGAGGGAAACTATGAATAGTTAAAAAGTACTTTCATTAATGTTCTGCTTTTCTTTTAGAGCCATTCTTACTTGTTCAGCTTTTTCATAACTCTCTGTTTCCTAATACTGTATTTTGTTCTGTTCAAAGCTGCTTTTTAGTTCTTCTTTCTTTAATTTCTATTGAAAAAGTAACTTTTGACTTATTCCAAGAGTTAAACAGACTTCCTTTGTGTCATGTTTTTTTACTTACTAGAACTCAATTAGTGCAGGAGATAAGAGATACAGCTTAGGGTCTTTATTCCATATCTTCTTTACTTCATGATTTTAGGTGGTCAATTTAATTATGCCATTTTTTTGCAGATTTATTGCAGAAAACATAGTTGCTCATTTTCTACTCTTTCTTCAGATAAAATATGCTGGTGCTGATACTGATGTGACGTTTCCTCCTCCATCATTTTGTCACCAAATCAGTACAGATGAATTTGAATACCAAAGGGCAACTGGCACTCAAGAACCACTGGCAGCCTTACTGGAAGAGATTGCAATGAATAAAGAAATATCTGTGAAAGATAAGAAGAAGAAGCTCAAGCAAGTAAATAAAAATTCCTCTACAGTCTTTAATTTAAACTTAAAAGGCTTTATCAAGTCTTAGACATGTAGTCCTCTAGAAAAATACCAACATTTAATATAGTAGATACTCTTGGGGTTTTCAAACTTTTTAATAATTAGGAATAGGAGTATTATGATGAATGAAGACATATTAGGAAATATCACCTAATTCTCTATATAGAGGTACAGAAAGTCCTTTTTAGAAATAATAATATTTTTCCTGCTCCAGAGGTGGAGGTTGCACTTTAATAGTTTATGTTATAATTTTGAGTGAATTCTTTATTTAAATCGATATATTTTTCTAGTTTCAGAAATCTTATCCTGAAGTGTATAGAGTACGATTTCCTACCCCTGAAACTGAAGCAGTGCTATTTCCAGAACGAAATAAACAGAAAGCACCGATACTGATGTGGGCCTTAAAAAAGCCTTTTCAACCATTTCACAGAACCAGAAGCTTTAGGATGTAAATGGTCTGAAAATGTGAACTGAGTAAGAGCATATTGTCAATGGATCTTATGCAAAAGGAGCCTGAGCAGCATGTAGTTACTCCGAAAAACTACCAGAGATATTGCTGAGATGGTGGAAAAGATCAAAAAAAGAAGCAAGTATTGAGGTGGTAGAAATGTGAGCCATTATCAGTATTTTTGTAAATAATTATTTTTTAAATGTCAATTAAAAAAAAAGAAAAAAAAAAACAAACAGTGAGCTCAAGGTGATTAATCTAAATGGATGATAAAGTACATTTGCTGTAGTTTGATTTGACCAGTATTTCAAGGTCTAAATATATTTGTATGTAATGTATTTTTGGTAACTAGTCAATAGATTTTGTTCTCCTGAAAATGAGACTTGCATAAATTAGGCTGTGCTTGTTCATACATAGCTTGAGGAATTAATTTACTGTACATGCTTAAATAAGTATGAAACACTGGATTTTGTTTTGCTGTGTACACCATGGTGTTCCTGATATGTAAAGATTTACTTTGGAAAACTGTAAAAACTCATTCTTAATTTTTGGATTCATATGATGCATTACAGCTGCCTTCTGTAGTGCTGACCCATTCTTTTAAGCAAACCAGTCTTTTAAGTCTTTTCCCATATGCTCTTACTAAATATTGCCATAAAAAATTGGATGGTTGATGATAGAACATATTTTATCAGAAAAATCTGAAACCTGCATTTCCTCTGGAAATGGAATTCAAATATCAGAGACATTGAACCATACATGCCTTTAATGATGTCATTTGGTTTGCATTATGAAATTTACTGTACCTGTAACTTGACTGTGCATATAGCATACTTGACTCTGACAGCACTTTTGAACTATTAAAGCATTACCATTTTCCCATATTTACTTAGAGTGGTGATTTCACATTATCCATTAGAGATTTAAAGAGCAACATTTCATACTTTATTGAATGTCAGAGTAGGCTATGCAGGAGAGAAGGTAGCTGACATCTCAACAAATGTCTATCTGACATTTTAGTAAGCAATACGGTGACTATCCTGTAATGCAACATTGACAGTATTTCAGTGAGCTTTAAGATATACTTTACAAGGTTGTATGTTTAATAGGTTGGAATATTTCTTGGTCAATGTGATTTTGAACATTACATGTTTTCATGATCTCTTTTCACACATCTGTTACACTTGGACTTCATATCTTTTTCTTAAATATCTTTTTATCTTTTTCTTTCATAAGCCTTAAGCAAAATTGATACAAAAGGGTATGCATTTCAAATAATAAAATATTAAAATTAATATTAAAAGTAATCTGAGACCACTTTTTACCTTTTGTACTCAGTCTTCAAGGGTGTCATAACCATTTAGATGTGTCACAGTATTCTGTGTATGCTTACATGCAGTCAGACTATGATCTGACTACTCATATATAATAATTTGGTTACAGCACTCAGTAATCAGTAAGGCTACTTGGAAAGCAAATCTTGCATAAAAGTGGAAACCCACCCTAAGTGATCTCTGACAATCAGCTCCTAAATTGCAGAGGAGAATTAAAGCCAATCTATCTGCCATTTGAAATAAATGCACATTTAAAAATCTGTAGCCTTCATGAGCCTATTTTAAACAATAATTAGAATTTACTAATTAATTTTAATGAGAAGTTGAAGATATCTCATGTTTCTATGGATCAGTTGTACTGTTGTTTCAAAGAATTATTTCCTTGACTCTGGTAAAAACAAATCAAGCAAGTTACCAAGCTCACAGTTCCAAAGCCTGTGAAAAATACCACCACAAACTGTTCTGTAAAACCCTGAAGGGACTGTAGGGAGGGAATTTTATCTGACATCATAATCTCATAGACTGAATTTTAGCTATTGCCCTATCTTGGGAGACACTTAAGACAGCTTATCTTAGTACTAGAAGATATGTGACTATGGCAGCTGCTTACAGTTTTTCCTCATCTCATAACTAAACCAACTGTAAATATGCAAGATGAATGTGGTATGAACACAAAAGTATGTTTGCGTATTCCTTTTAGTGTGGACACTAGAAAAAGAAAGATTGAAAACTAGTTCAGAGAAGACTGGGCTTGGTGAAGTGTCTTAGAAAAAATAGGTTCTGTATCCCTAACCAACAGAAAGTTCAGTTTTGATATTAACTTTGTCAGGAATTTAACCTTCTCTGTTAAAGCCCTGCAGTGTCTTGATGTTGCTAAGACATGAACTCTGATGGGTTTATTTCCCTTGAACTCTGAGGACCATAAGCCAGACATTCTTTTGCTTAAGCTAGTGGCTATTTTCTGAAGAGGCTTATCAAATGGAGTATTAGCTGACATTTTTTTAAAGCACATCATGTGGAAGACTGAATAAAAACAGATGTTGTTTCGGCTGGTATTTCAGTCTACTTAGACAAATGTTTGTCATCTACGAGGAGCATCTGAAATATCCACCTGTAAGCCCATTTCTTGCTAAATTTTGCTGTTTAAATCCTTAGCACTGAAACTTCTAGCATAATGCCATTAGCTGTCATGGTACTGTTAGGCTTTTTGGACAAGATCTTTGAGTAGAAACTCTATTGTGTGGGTGTTTCTGATTGTTTTTTTTTCAGTGGGTTTTTTTGTTTGGCTCTTAGGGTTTTTTTTTGCTTTGCCCCTGGCAGAGCAATCTCTTCTCCCTCACCCTGCAGCCCATCTTGAGCATACCCTCTCTCCTAACCTATTGTTTCCTAGTAACATAACTGTGAGCTTTGCTCCAGCATTTTCTGGAAGATGGAAGAACATTATTTATCTTCCTTTCTTGGGAAGGGACCTGCTTGCTCTTGCTGATTGTTGCATTGCTTGCTTTACGCAAACATAGCTTGCTCCAACTCCTAAACAGCAATCTGGAAAACCTTTTGGTTCACATGTCTCTGTTTCTGCATAACTCTCCTGATGTTCTTTGAGTAATAGCTTCCATTGCTAGTTGCTAATACATAAATATTAGTTAATTGCTTATATTTTGTAAGTAGTCTATTTACCTCACCTAATTTGCCAGGATTGTGGTATCAGCTGTTTACACATGACTACAGAGAATGATGACTAATATTATTTTCTGAAACTGTTTTCAGATGTTACTTCATATCAGAGGAATCTTAGGAAAAATCTGGATTATTTCATCTTCTTATTCTAAATGGAAACAAGAACTAAAGTGAATAAGGTAGCATGTTAACATACCATGCTTTTTAAGCTGGTGCCGTGATATGCCAGAGCTTTTTTCCCCTTTTTCTTTCACAGAGACTGTGCTAACTCACATAATTTGCTTTATTTCTCGATCACAGTTTTTTAAGTCTCCTGCTGCCTCAGATCTTATGATTTTAGTTATTGTAGTTCTAGGTAAGCTCATACTTCTTAGATTTTTAAATCTGCAAACTCGTAGATATCATTCTGTAAGTGTATAAGTGCTCTTGAAATAATTTTATTAACTTGGAACAACAGGTGTACTTTATACCAGCTGTAATGCATTAACATTACCATTTTCATCAGTTCATTAGGCTTGAAACAAAAATACAAAGTGACAAACTTTTCTGGAGAACAAAGCCTGTAAAATGAAATTAGAATTTGTACAAGTTTTTAACTATGTTTTCAAGTATCTGCTGTATGATATTTAGTTATCAACATATCTTCCTGTGTTAGATGTCAGTTCTGTTGGGTTTTCTGTTTTTTGGGGGGGGGTGTTGTTTGGTTTTTGTTTTTTTTTGTTTCCCCCAGAACCCCAGATTATAGAATAGTTATGCATACAGGACACTATTTCCTATTTCTATATAGATTGTGTTCGAGAACTGAGCATTGTAGGTATAACATATAAAATTAGGTGAAGTAAGTCCCTCTTCACAAGTTTCTGTTCAATGCTGAACTCCCACTTAATTTTACCAAGATAAATAACAGATGAGATATTCAAGTCTGTGTTTAAAAAGAAGGAAGTTGATACATGTTTGTGAAGTCCTTGCTAAAAGTAATTGAAAGAGGAAGAATGTTAAAACAGTATTGTTTAGGGACAGTAACTTTCAATTTCATTGCTTTTTTTGAATTTTGTGTATCTAAAGCTGCCTGAAAAAATACCTTGCTTGTCCTGGCAAAAGCAGAAAAATACAAGAACAGCATCAAATACACCATTATTCAAGAGGATAATTGAGAATAATGTAAATAGCCAATAGTGAATGAGTCTGATGGCAAACCTGGGCAATATGGTGGAAAAAACTGATACAGAATTTTAGTGAGAAAACCTAAAGCACAGTAATAGAGCTAAAGCTTAGTCAGTGCATTGTTTTAATTCTTTATAGAAAGTATACTGTCTTACCTGGTAAACTTGCTTTTGTGAGTGATGGAGATTACAAATTTATTTTATAATGTGTGTCAGTTTTTGACTGCTGAAAATTTTTCAGTGAGGGTGGGATATTTATATAGCAGATTTAAGTACACTGACATTTTTTTTTTTTTTTTTTTTTTTTTTTTATGGATTCCTTGGAAGTACTGATGGGGCCATGGATATGGCTGAAAACTGTGGGTGCAATAGGCTTTTTATGGCATTTCATTTAGTAATATTTGATAAAGTTGTCCCTGGATGATATCAGTAAGTGATTAAGAACTAAGAATAGTCACAAGGGAATCATGATGGAGATTATGTTTTTTTTCAGGAAATTGGTACTAGATTTTTCTATCAGCCATTGTTTCCCTTGAGGATGTGAAAATAAATATAAAGATCACTGTTAGCATCATTAGCTAATCTCATTAGTGTTTTCAGACTCTTCAGTAATCCTAAAGGCATTAATATGGGAACACTGCAGGTTGAAAATAATTCAAATGTGGTCACTTCGAAGTTGTATGTCTGAGAACAAGATATGTAGGTCATGAAAAAGGAAAAAAAAGAGGAGGAAAGACTGTATTCTGGAAAACTACAGCTCTGTAAAAGGCTTCTCCCACAGTGAACAAGGCTTTCCAACATTATGCTGAAGCAAAGGCTAATGTGGTTCTTAAAGGACTAAATTGGAGGTTGTTACATAAAATCAGCTGACTCATCTTGTGTGACCTCTACACTCAGTACTGACTGACTGACACTGAAACACTGCAGGTTTTGCAGCTTTTATAAAACTGTAGATGATGCAAGGTAAGTATTTGGAATTATTTCCTTAAACTAAGAGTTTGCATTACATCAGTCTTTCCCACTTAGGAGAAACAAGAACAGGAGGTCACTTGATTATTTTGTGGAGTACATTTACAAGAAGAGGTACTTATTGGTAAGAGGTAGATTGGTAAGCAGCAAAGACTTGAGCTGAGCAGGAAGTAATAGTGGATAGAAGATGGAGCTGGATATGATTTTTTAATGTTTAGGGTACTGAATGTTGGGAGTCTGGTGTCCAGGATCTCTCTGGTGGATATTTACGAAACCCAAGTCGCTGAGCTCAGGACAGTGTGAGCAGAGGGGAACTGTAATGACTCATGATGTGTGGAAGACTGAACAAAATCTCAGGGCTCCTCAGTCTTTGCAGTCTCTGGATTTTCACATGTGAGTCACACATCTGTTCAAATTCATTAGCTTCAGTCAGTGATGGTATTCAGGAGGTGATGTGGGACAGCTGATTTGTCATTCCTCTCTTGGTTTTTGAGGCAACTAATGAAAGCAGCATTTGTTACTTCTGTTCTTCAGCTAAACCTCAGTGAATAAAGGTAAATAGGGGTCACCTTTTGAGTTGCCAGGGCACAGCTGCTTCTGGGGATAATGAAAATCAGTTCTGCTCTGCCCAGCACTCTGATCAGGGAGGATATATCTCTGGTGTGCTGCTGTTGGTTTGCCTTGGGATTGAGAGAGAGAGAGAGAGTAAGATACATAGAAACATGATCTGCTAGCTGGTATGAATTATAGTAGTACAGTCATTGTTGCTTTATGATCTAAGTAGTATTTTAGAATTTATGTCTTAGTCTTGTTTTCTTTTTAACCTGGGATTATATGGTCTGAACTGATCATATCTAGGAAAGACAACTCGTGAACATCCAAAGCAGACTGAAATATCTCTTGGTTTAGCACTAAATTAAGGTTGTCTATAGCTACTTCTTCCTGTGAATTTTTTATACATTCTCTATATTTGTGATTTGAAATCACTGCAATGTTTTCTGAAACTGTA